GCCAGTACCGGGCCATGAGCTACTCGGCCTTCTCCACGGAGTACAACACGCAGGGAGCTCCAGGACATGCCCACGGGGCCGTGGCAGAGTGGAGCCAGTACCCTCTCTTCCCCTATGCCTGCTGGTGAACAAGGAAGACCTTTCCCAATGAAAAAAAACTGAACGAAATTATAAATGAGATCAAATTTGTTGTGGGGTGTTGATCTTTTAAAGCCTTGCCTACACTAGGCAAAGAGGTATTGCTGCGAGCGGTAGCATGGGACACCTTCATTTCCTTGTCTCCTTGCACAACAGCTCTCGCCGTATTTCAAAAGCAGTGGCTGAACTGGTGGCTGTCTCGGCGTGGGCCTGGCTGAATCGATGTGTTTTGCAGTGTTGTTTTTTTTTTTTTCCCAGCAGGAGCAGGAAACCACAGGAGCTGCGAGAGCAGTATTTAAAGAGCTGCCGAACTGTCAGTCCTAGGCTGTTTGCATCTTGTATTTGGCGGTTTCCAAAATCTCTTCCTCCCAGGACTTGCATGCAAGGAGATAAGGGCTGAGGAGTTTCAGTAAGCCATCCAGGTAGCCAAAAAGCTTTAGAGAATTATTGCAAAGATGAGCCAAACAAGTAATCCCAGTGTTTCCTTGAGCGGTTTCCTCACTTAGTATAGTCAAACTAAAGCTAGAGTCTTGCCTTTTTTCCAGCAGCATACGAGAGCAAAGTACACAGCAACGCGTGCGTGTCTGGAGCGCGGCAGTGGGTCATGCAGGCAGGGAAGAGTTTGTGCCCTGCAGGAGAAGCGGCAGCAAGGCTGTGCCTTGTGTCTGCCTGTCCCCCGTGCCCATCCCTCTGCTGTCACCCCTAGATTCCAGGTTAGTGAAACTCTTCCTTCTGCCGGTGGGGCAGGGAGGTTGTTCACAGAATGGGGGGGCTGCTCGGGGGGTTTCCAAAGGCCTGTGGTTGTCTGAAACGGAGCCACGAACAGCGGTGCTGGCGGCATCACTCTGACCTCTTCCTTTCAAGAGAAAGGAGATCTTTTGCTGTGAACCTCTTCCTTCTTCCACCCCCTGCCGCCCCTGGAGAATATAATTTATCGTGGTGGTTACTGTGCTACACTGAGCGAGCTTTGTCAATAGACGGTTCTCGCCAGCCTGGCATTGCTCCTCGGGCATATTCTTTTAATTACTCTCCTGTAGGCACTGGGCTGCGTGCTGCATTGCCGGTGTGCTCGGCACCTCCCAGGCTGGTCGGCGAAGTCATCTTGCCACTGCTGGGGAGTCCGTAGGGATCTGCTTCCATGTGGTATTTACCAGAGCGTTTTCACCTCCCTTACTTCTGTGGTCCCATCGTGGGGAGGAGCTGCTCTGCCAGCGAAAGAGGATTTCTTTTTGTTTCGTGTTAGAAGGGGGAAGCATCCCTGTTTGCCCAAGTGGCAGAATGGCTCTGGCAGTGGGGTCTTGTTTGAGACGGGCTCTTTGCTCCTCCGGGAGGATAGACGTGTTCCTAGGTGTTATTTAGGGAATGTGTTCTTGTGACACTTCAAATAAACTGCTGTGTGGCCTGTAGCCATCAGTAGGCAGTGAGGTGTGTGATTTAGCCTGTGTGCCAGATGGTTTTCTCCCTGTGTGCGCACGCGTGTGTAGCAAGACGTTGTCTATGAGCAGCCCTGAGTGGGTTTGTGACCGGTGTGCGGGTTCACCGGGAAAGGCTGTGCGCTGGTCCGTTCAGGTACCAGGTCGGCACTGTGCGTGTACAGGTGTCGAGCCACGTTTATTACTGTTAAAATTTAAAAAGTAGCCCTACAAATTTGTGAAACTCCACTACAATGACTGCTTCCTTATTTAAATAGTGTATTGCTAACCACTTTTGTACTATAATTATGATAAGTACAGAGCAGGCAAGTACCTCCCCTCGGCTTCACAGGATGTGAAGATGTGCAGCATTTAAATAAAGGTCAGACATCACCACAGTATATGTACATAATACCCTATTAGCCTCTCCTCTGATAGCACCCTGGCCGGTAGCGATTTACACCTGCTGTGCGGGACACAGATGTGGCTGCAAGTGACTCACTTAAAAAAAAAATCTGGTTGGGGAAAAAAAAAACGTGGAGGAGATTGTTTTTAACCCCAGAATATTGTGATTTCCTGCTGTCCAAATGCCAGCTGCGTGAAGGCAGGTCAGCTGTAAAAGGCTGTCCTCTGTGGATGAGAAAAATATTCTGTCTGTGATAGTTGATTTTACCACTGCTGCTTCCCACATCTGGGGCATCGGATGAGAAAGGTGGCCGGGGCGTTGGGTGCCTTGAGCCCCGTGTGCAGGGACCCTGGGGGTGATACCTTCTGTAAGGCCGTCCGCCTGGTACCCCACCGCTGCCAGCGCCGTGCTGACCAGAAGAGAGACGGCCATACATCCCCCCCACCGGCTACTCGGTCAGGTCTGTTTCTTTATCTTTGAAGCTGGGCTGTATTTCCCCCTGTCACAGGGTGCTAATGAGGATGAAAACCTTTCTGTGGTGAGTATGAGTAACTGAGGAGAACTGGGCAGCACAGGGAAACTCCAGTGCAAATATGGGTGTAATATTATTTTTTTTATTATTTTTTTTTTGTCAAACCTTCAGAGTAGCGTTGCAAGTGCTGCTGCTCCATGGGTCGGTTGGCAGAGCTGGTTTGGCAGACGGCTCTGCGCTGGGGTAAAAGACTCAGCCTTGTGCCTAGGACGAGCCATTAATTACTCATCCGCCTTCTGCTGCAACAGGACTCCTTGCCCTTCTTCAGTGAATCATCTGGCTTATTAGAAAAGTTCCTTTACCTTCCTCGCTCGCCTGTCTCTGGTTAGAGACTGCGGCTTGGCTGGTTTGTGAAGCCTGTGGAAATTTTGCCCGTAGGTGTGTGCTCTGGACTCTGCTGCCGCCTCCTCCCTTTGCAATTCCCACTGTCTTGTTTTCTTCAGCTGTGGCATTTAAAAGTCTGTATCGGCTCGACTGAAACGCTGTTTTTGCACGCATGTGAGATAATGTAATGCCCCTCTGACAGCTTCAATAAAAGGAAATGAGACATGCGGAAGGCAGACCATTAAGAGCAATAAAATAAACTCCAAAGTGTGTTTTCTGTGCATCTCTTTCAAGCACACCAGTGGCTCCACTTTAGTCGTGTTACCTGGGGCCAGTTTGTACATGCATGACACACGCTGTTGATCTCAGCCTTCATTGTTCTCCGCAGCGTATTCAGCGAGCCCCAGGTTATCTGCTTGCATTGCTAGATGTGACTCAGTCTCTTGCACTAATTATTTGCAGCAAATTGTTTATTTTCTCTGCGTTTTCTGCTCCTCTCCTGCAGAGGAGTTACATAAGGATGAGGGCAAATGGACTATAAATGGGATCTAGGTAAATTTCCCATGGGAAATGAAGGTCCTGATTTATTTTGATTTCTCCTACTGGTTTTTGCCGCCTTAAGCCTTGTCTGACACTGCTTCTGTGCAGATGGGAATGGCAGAAAAATGCTTTCTTGCCAACACTGCAGTCCTTCCACAGCCAGCCACATCCCGATGAGCAGCCGCAAGCCCAGGAGAGGCACCTGTGAGGCTGCTTCCCTGCCAGGCAGCAAAGAACCCACCTCTCCTCGCACCTCTGAAAAGATACGGTGAGATCTCCGAAGGGTGCGTGCAGGGTCCCCTCTCGCCTGGCCGGGGATGTGGCCTCTGTGCTTGCAACCACCCGGTCACCCTCTGGCCTTGCAGAAGAAGCTACCAGTAAGAGCTTATCTGATTGCCAGGCGCTGGAGGGAGAGGGGTGTGCTCAGCTGGTGAAAACCAAACTCACTGCCCGGTGCCATCAGATCGACCTCCTTGTCCCGGCGGAGCCCGGAGGGAGCACTGCTGGTGGCACCTTCTGCAGCGCCTGGTGCTGCGCGTCCTGATGCGCACGGTGTGGGGCAGGGTCTGCCCGTCCCCGGGGGGGCTCCGCGGGGGCCCAGGGAGGCTCCTTGGCTGCGGAGGGGCATGAGGATGTTCTGGGGAGCAGCATTTCTGTGCCCGGTTGGGCTGGGGAACCTGAATTGCTTTGTAGCTGGGCAGCCAGGCTGAGCCAGACTCGTTGCTTCCTTTGGGTTGACCTGACAGCCCAGCGTGGGGGTGTCTGTCGTTTGGGCCTTGGGGTGAACCTCCCCGGAGGCTCCGGTGGTGCGTTTCCTTGGTTAGCGTATGTACTGGGTCACCTTAAGCAAATCCAAGCAAGCAGCACAAACCACCTTCCGGGAATAATAACATTCTTCAAGTC